TGTTTAAAGCCAGCGGACAGCTGACATACTGAGGGCGTCATCGATGCAATTTTCGTGACTACCGGATTACAGTTTTTGCGCTAAGGATGCAAGCTGTTGCACTACGAATGAAAGCCATTGCATTAAGGATGCAATCAATTGAGAAATGGTATATATACTTGAAAAAAGCTTGTTAACTGTCCAAAGAGGCGCTCACAGGTGGACTTCAAGGGAAATCATTCGTACCGATAGACATCCAGGTCAAACACTTTCAATGGGTAGCCAATAAGCTTCAGGCTGCGTCGGACCAATCTTCTCCAGGTTGCTATGGGCGGGCTCTCTTAACAGGTGGCTCAAACTGCCACTACCCGAGTCGCCGAGGTAATAACAATAAGTGATAATGATAGAGAAAATGAGGCAGAACGCAAGAGAATATAAGGAAGAGGTAAATAATCGAGAGTAATATATCTGGCTGGAATGGGAACAACTACATGCAAGGAACAGAGTACAACCCTTCCATTGAGTTGGCGACTACCTCGAGTTGAAGAACGCCTCAAAGCCCCCACGGAAGAAGACGGTAAATACCAGCCTGACTAAGTCTCTTGGTTACTTTGTTCATGACTTTCTTTCACCTCGTTGACTGGCCACCTCGCGGAGTTTGAAGTTAGCCACCGTGAACCTGGTTTCCAAGAAGGCTATGTGGACTACTACGCGACAATTGTTTAGGATGTGACAACCCGTCGAATAAAACAAAGATGAGTACTGAGAATAGAGAGCGAGAAGATAAAAATCTGTGTTGCTCCATCGTAGGTGGATCGAGCACATGCGCGGAATCATCTCGCTGATTCCTGCGCGGTAGCAACATAGTGCAACTGCACTACAACTTATCCAGGTGCGATTCGCTCCCTATACATGTGGTCCGCAAAGTGGGCCTCAAAGGATCTCTCAAATTCCGACACCGATTTCGACTTGACAAGCGTCTCCGGCAACTTGTTCCCATATTGCGCCACTCAACGCTCGAAGTATAGAGGATGAGCTAAGCGCTTCAAATCCAGTACAACTAGTTTGCACCGGTGTTGGCGTGCATTAACGGTTGCGCGAACATGCAGCATCGGCCTCAAGATAGGGAAGTGGTCCAGGTGCAGTATCCGGTGCGTCATAATGAGGCGACGATTCAAAGCTGAGGTTAAGATGATAGTTAGTGAAAGGTGAAAAAGCGCGTGAAAAGTGTTCGGCGTAATCATGTGCGCAAATCCAGGCAGGTAGAAAAACAGTGACGGTGGTTAGCAGATGGGTTGGGGAAAAATCGTCACCAGTACGTAGTAACGGTGCTACGCTGCCGCGGGACCACCAATAGCCCCGAGTGGGCTGAGTACATCGCGAGGACGCCATCTCTACGCCCATACGAACCAGTGACCTTGTGGTTGCAAGTAAGGCGCGCCGACCACCCGGCCACCGGCAGACAGATGCGTTGAATAGCGCGCTTAAAAAGGTGTACGATGAAACAACCGTGCAAACTGTGTGACGCATATAACTGGGAGTATTACAATGCAACAAAGCTGGTACGCACCCGTGTGAAGTGAAAACAAACGAGGCCAAAACAATTGGCTGTTGAATAACGTAAAAAAAAGACAACGTACAACAGTACCTGGTCGATCTGGGTCAACACCGCATTGACTACTCGAATGGCATCGCTCGGTTCGCAGCCAGACATAGCCGAGTTGCGCACGGCGGTCAAACTCTCCACCTCGTCAACTAGCAAACAGACAAGATGATCCGCAGAATCGAGATACTCTCGGATAGCGTCGAACATGCGAGCGACCAGCCTAGCGCTTTCAGAGAACCATTTGGACATGAGGTTCATCGCGTTCAGTTCGATCAACTTGGTGGAAGAGTAACGATCAGCCAGGCGGATGGCTAATTTATTGGACAACGCACGACATAACGAAGTCTTTCCAGTTCCAGGAGGACCATACAAAAGTACCACACGATTCCACGATATAATTGAGGAGGAAACCTAAAGGGGGACGGACAAAAGATAAAGTGAGCAGTTTGTGTCAGCACAAATCCGTGAGCATTGATAGTACAACCAACCAACCTGCTTGTCTGCAAACAACAGTGCAGTTTCGGCATAACTCAGCAGATCCAGTTTGATGTCGGAATCGAATATAAGGGACTCCCATATACCTTGCATCTCCATCGACGGGAGGAGCCAGACAGTGCCACCGTTGATGACCTCGGAGCCCACTTCGATTTTCTCGTGCACCGGAAGGGCCTCGTCCCCAGATACAAGTTGGTATACATGCACCACGAGGGGCGTGGTTCTTAAATCTACAGACCGACTGGCGTCATAACCATTCGAACCATCGGCTTCATCCAGAAGTAACTACGGGAGGAGAAACAGACGGCATGAAGTCCAAAGCACCCAGTATTGCTGAATTCGCTGAAACTACGGAATAGAGAATAACGGAATCGAACAAGATAAGACCAGAAAATAAGCTGGTCGAACTTACGCTCACTGAATGAACACAGCGTTGCAGGAAATCACAGGTTTGTTGGCTCGTACCTTCTGAGTTTACGAGGGTGAAGTGGTTTTCGTGGTTATTTAATATGGTGGGTACGTGACGAGGACCTAATGAGCGAAGAAAGTCGACCACATGAGATTCGATAGTAGAGGAAATTTCCGTGTTGAATTGCGATACGCATACTTCTACATGTATTGGGTGATCAGGTAACCATGGATCAAAAGAAGTGGTTATGCAATTTAACGCCGGGTCACTGTCTCTGAAACCATTTACACAAGGCTCCAACGCCTCGGGAGTCTGACAATTAAAGGGTTCGCCGGTCGTTAGCATAACAAGACCTCCAGGATCGACGAGCGAGTCACCGACAGCCGACCAAGAGTCATCCGTGGGGTACGTATCCATTGTGAAATAGTTTATGGTCAAACTAAAAGAGATAAAGGTAGAGCATGAGTAAGATAAAAAAGGTCAGGGAGGTAATGGAAACACCATTACAAGTGTGAGCTTGCTGTTTCGCAAATGCGGAGAGATTCATAATAAGTACGAGACTGGAACATAACGTGTTGAGATGGTTCGCGTGCCTCAGTGGTTTAATGAACTAGCTGGGTGGTACTTCTTGTGCCTTAAGAGCCACTCTTACCAGATTGGTCAATGGTTGGAGGCCAGATGAACTCGGTTTTACGGCCATAAACGTTGGGTATTAGAAAGTCACTTTATACCTTAAAACCGGTTTATTGTAGCCAATTGCCCAAATGTCGATGCAATGCAGTCAGGTTATTGTACCAAAGTATTTGACAGAGAATCTTAAGCGTTCACTTGTCTAGGTCTGGGAAACGCGACAGTATCCTATCGGCGCAATAGAATGAATTTATCATCAAATGAGTTCCTGATGCAGTAGATAATCAACGGCGTCCGAATTACTGCACCGAGCAGGGTGAATAGGGGTGATGATGTAACTGCTCAGACCTTTCTGTCCCAATACTCCTCCTCGCGCAATTTTTCAGTTCATCGTCCCCTATCAACTCGACTTATATGCACCATGTTTACAGGACCGCATTCTTGGCCCCATCCCCATCCTACTTCAATAGTCGACTGTCTTACAGTTTCGACTCACACGCAACCGCAGGGCGTCTCTTCGGTCCAGTTAGAAGTCCACGTTCAACCAAGCAAACGTTGATTCATCTGTTTCCATTTGGGGCCGTCGATCCCCCCTTAAGAATAGTAGGCCTTTAGTACACATTGACCAACAGGCAAAGTTTGCGAGAACACAAAAGACTATCGGTCGATATCCGCTGATTCTCTGAAACCTTGCTGCAAGATTCGAGCTCGGTGCTTAATCCTGTTATCAACCACAAGCAAATTTGCAGCATTTTCGCACTGCGTCTGTCCAGAGATGACGCAGCTTCAAATGCCGGCGCGGCCTTGTTTTGAGTCCTCGGGATGAAACTGTCCTGATTGGTTAGATCCTAATCAATCAGCCGGATGTGCGCCCTCAAGTTGGCCGGCTCATTCCAAGCTTCGAAATCGTGCGGAGACACATGGTTTCAGTTTGTCATTGCTGCCTAAGCTCCCAAACTGTATCGATGATTCTGTGAAAGATGACCTCTATCACCAAACGAAGGAGCTCCTTCGTGTCAGTAAAAGTACGGATACTGCAGCACCAACTGGTGCTCCGAACGCTTAGGCTGTCAATTGTCCATGGATGACCTCCATATAGCAGCCAGCATAGTCTGGTAATCGTAATGATAACGGTGAGAAATTGCTACCACTGTGAGAAGGAGCGCGTCCATTCCATGCGATCAGAAACCGGATGCCGCAAACCATGAGTTCGGAATTACCTCCCAGGCTTACAGAGGGACCATGTGTGGTCTACTCTGTACCACCCACAATTTCATCCACACACCCCATATCCAGTGTAAACCCGAAGGAATAAGACCGGGAGGCATGTGGATGGGAGCCACATTTCATCAACGGAGCCGGCCCACACTCCTTCACAGGCAAACACAAGCACACTGTATTTGGGGAACCAAGCGCACACAAGACGGTGCATGGACCGTGGTCCGCTCCACAATGAGTGCATGGAACCACTCTTCGAGCCTTGCACCACCACAAGGACCGTGCACCCCGTCCCCTCCAGCAACGACCAACCGTGTCCTAGGGCCAGTATAGACCAGGTAGTGGGTAACAGGCAATCAGGCACCTTGTCAACACACACAACAAACGCAGCCACACTGGGGATTTCAAGCAACAGCCAAACACTGGAAACAACATTAAAGAAAATAAATCGAATAATGGATACAGATACGGCGAAATAACTCTTCACTATTTGAGTGTATAAAATAAATTGGTTACGAACAAATCAACGATAAGTTCAAGACGTCAGACAACATATTTATAAAATTGCCACAAACGCGAAAAGGTTATCGAGGTTAACTACAATTAGGCTAAGCGATGTGTGCAAGTTTATAGAAGATAGTTCAGGTAGACTAATATAAAAAGCATAAGGGCAATATAGCAAACTCACCACCTGAAATAATGAGACTCAGTATGCAAGCACGAAGTTAGTAAATCGAATGCAGCGTACCTACAAACGCTGCGCCGGTACTGCCTACGATCTCTGCAGGACCATTCATTGCTTCGGTTGTGGTCCCGAGTGGCCTCGCTCATGGCTCACTAGGCCTGCCTGACTCAGGCACTCGCGACCGCATGCGCTACAGAACCATGGGCTCGCTGTCGATGGAGTACAACCCATCGGCGCCTGTCATTTCCGCAATTGCTGCTTTTTCTCTGCATGCACGTGGGATTTCTGTTACACCAAGGCAATGGGCTTCACGATCAGATCGCGCAATGCACGTCGATCAACCGCTTTCGATTCCCATGATCTGCATTCAAGATTAGAACGTGAGAGGCTCACTTTAATCATGTCCTGGTAACGTAACTTCGGTTTCCCCACGTGCCGATTCCATATACTCAGCTGACCATATAATAGCTACTTCGGTATCCGCGTCGAATCCATATGCCATACATGACCGAGCCGCCTCAGGTGTCTCAGCAAAAGTATGCAGTCCACTGCATACAATCCACATCGGCGCAACACTTCCGAGTCTGCAACGCTGTCGCACCAACCAATGCGCAGAATCCGTCGCAGACACTGCTGATGGAAACGCTCAAGATATCGCATACTCAGACGGTATATTGCCCCCGTTTCGCTGCCGTATGGAAGAACGGACAACACCATGGATTTGTACACCATCAGCTTCGTGCCAACGATAAGCTAATGGTTGTTCCACACTCGGTACTCTAACTTCCTGAATGTCGCAGCTACCTTCGAGACGCGGATACGAAGCTCACTGTGTAGCTGCTGGTCAGTCGACACCACACTTCCAAGGTAGCAGAAGTGGGAGGTGGTTTCCAATACGTCATCACCAATCCTGATTTGCGGTAATATTGTAGAATGCATCTCCGGTAAAGGCTGAAAGAGACAGGTCGTTTTGCACGTGTTGTTGGTGAGAGCGAATGTGGCCGCTGCCGATGCCAGAGCACTAGTCTTGTGTTAAAACTCATCTGCGCTGCATGCAAACAACGCACAGTCGTCCGCAAACAGCAACATATGGATAGTTGGCTCACAGACTAGGGTTTTCGCACCGAAACAACGGATGTTTAGCAACTCATTAACACAGTGCGCCACACGAACACCGTATGCACAAGTCGCATCAAAAGCACAAGACGCCATAGCATGAAGACAAAGATTAAACAGGGCAGGAGCTAAGACACAGCCTTGCTTCACACAAGAGACAACTGCAAAGTCATCCGAGGTCTCTCCACTCAGCTGCACCCTCGCTCGCATACTACTGTGCAGACATTCAACTAAACTTACAAACTTACGAGGGCAACCAAACTTACCCAACACCAGCCACAATGCTCCGCGGTTCACCGTATCAAATGCCTTGGTGAAATCAACAAAAAGCGAGTACAATGGCTGGTGTCGTTCTCTGCACTTCTCTTGCAACTGACGAGCCGCAAACACCATATCTATAGTGCTGCGACCCGAACGGAATCCACATTGCTCTTCCACCACGTTAGGTTCCACAACCTGACTGGCAAGGCGGTTGAGCAGGATTCGGGCAATCACCTTGCCCACACAACACAGCACGCTGATACCAAGAAAATTCGTGACACATTGCTTGCTACCTTTGCCCTTGTACAGTGGTAGCACAATGGCATCGTTCAGGACTAGAGGAACATTCTCCTCAAACTATTTGAGTTACACCATGAGTTGCATCGAAGTCACCAACGTAGGTCCGCCGTGTTTAAACAATTCATGTGGGATCTCGTCGGCACCGGCACACTTGCCGTTTCGTAGCTGAGCAAGTGGTATCTGCGTCTCATCCAGCGTCGGCGCGTCTGGCAGACTTGTCTTCACACCGCGCTGTTTCAGAACATTCAAAAAAGGCCAGTTGATCACTGAACGGTTGTTCAAAAGACAGTCAAAATGCTTCTGCCGGATCTACATTATGTCTGCAGTCTGTGTGCAGGTAGCGCCTGAACTATCATCGATCAGCGTTCTGAGTGGCTCCAATCTCGGTCCATACACCGCCTTCAAGAAGTCAAAGAATTCTATGTGTTGGCGGCGTTCGGCGGATGATTCTATCTGCTTCGCATTCTCCATCCACCATACATTTTTAATGCGACGGAGTTCTCGGATCAGTCGTAGTCGAATTCTGCCAAACTTTCTCATCTTCCCAAAGTTACTGGGGTCTGCCACATGTGCAGCAAATACTGCATTCTTCTCCGATACCAATGCGCCAATCGTCGTATTGTTGTCATCAAACCAATCAGGCCGCTTAGAGTTTGCCCATCCGATGGTCACCTTGGCAGCAGCTTTCACCTGGTCGCGAATGTGGTGCTACTGTTGTGCCGTGGGCTCACGTCGTGGACGGCTCCTCTTGGCAACCGAGGGTGGGAGTTGCGTCCTACTTCTAGCTAAGAGCCGGGACACCAATCCGCATAAGTCAGTGAACTCACCACGTGCAAGACCCGATGCCTTTCGGGTGTACATTTAATCGAAGGCTTTGGCTGAGAACCCGAGTTGTTCCCCAGTCAGGTGTAGGCGTCCTACCAGTATCCCAGACCATCCTCTTCGGAGGTTAGGAAGTGGCCGGTGGCCCACTTCCCGTAAAACCTAGCCGTGGGAGACAATAGGCCTGCGGGTTATAAGGTCATTGCTTGATGGGTATAGAGCAGGAGCGCCACGCAGTCTCTGACGGTTGGAGGGCACCTCCGGGTGCTCAATGGTTTGTTACTTCCTGCCTCAAGCTAGGCAGGCCCTGGTCAACTTGGTTCAAACTCACCAAAACACTCCTGTATCTGGCTGTGGTCGCAAGTGCGTATCCTACTACAGTCCGAGAACACCATCATCATCATCATC